ACAAGAGCCTTAATAAGATTGCTACTAACCTTGAGAAATATTATAATTGTGAATAAGAATTTGCTTAAACAAGCAATAGAACAGGCTGTTTCACATCCACCTTGAAATGCTTCCCCAAGCCCCACCGTTACTATACCACAATATAATTAATTTTTTATTTTTCTTCATATGTAGATATTATGTATTTTATCCCATATTTTTATCATCATATATTTTATTAATAAAGATTTTTGATTAGAGGAACGTACAATGTATCATGTGTTATTTTTCGTGTAATGTAGATATATAACTAATAATTTCTTGGCATTTTTCCCGAACTCGGTTCAGGGGAATTTTTTCCTTTTTTGTCATGTGATTTGACGACCTGAAATTTTGCTAGAAAAATTTGGTAGCATAATTATTTATGACATAAAGTTTGCTTATATGATCGTATGATCAATAATTCAAAATTATATATCTGATCGTATGATCAAATACTTCATATACCTGCCGAAATATCGATATGCTTTGGGGACGAGAAGAAAGAAACTAATTACTATCGTGGCACAATTTTAAGAAGTGTGTGAATTTTATTTTTGCTAGTTTGCTATTTTGCTCAAAATTTTAAGGATCGTGTTACATATCAGCCATGTCTAGTGTCACCACCTCTCCTAGTAAAGCCTCTCCCAGTTCAATGGCGAGTTTTGCCTCTCTTACCGATACATCAGTTTCAACAGTTTCAACTCCACTTAATATCCAAAAAACGGAAGAACAGAAGAAATACCGCCAGTTTTGGTGGAAAACTGGAAACTTTCACCCAAAAGCAAATTGGAATGAAGTGACGTAAGTCTCTTATCTGTTTCGACAAATTATAAACAAATGGTTGATATCGGCTGTTATTTATTGCCAAATTACCATACGAACTTATGACTGGTGTCACCTTTGACGAATATATATTTCAAACGGATAAACATAATGTGAAGGGTTTTTGGGAATGGAAAAATAATACCGTTCGTGTTATCGAATTTCCTTCTCCCTTTCACGAGGGACCTGTCCATACAATTGTGATGAAATTGGGTGCAGTGTTTGATCCCGTGGAAAACACTCTTGCTGGCATTAAAGCTTGTGGAGCGACAAGTAAGCGTTTCTTATTTTAAGTACGTTTTATCTAAGTATGTTCCTATTACTTACTATCGTTGAATAAAAGCAACAAGAACACGTGGGGGAGGCAGAGAGCAAGATGCGTCTTTTCGACCTTATGGAAAACCCCCAGTGCCCAGTGGTGGATATGATGGAGGGGTATGAAGTGTTTAACCTTGTTTATTTGTTGACGTGATTGTGTTGAATTTCTAATATTTGTGACAATGTATATATACTCTTAGAATATGCCCTGGCCCAATCTTATAATAGAAGTCGTATATGGCCAATCTATGTCAGTTCTTAAGGATAAAATAGATAATTACTGGCTCCTTCCGAATAGAGTCCACGACGCCATTGCCATTAAACTAAATTACGCACAAAATAATAATGTTCCAACAGAGATGACAGTAAGTAATGACAAAAAGGTTTAATTTCTGCACAATTCCCTTGGCACTAGTTGAAATATTTATTCTTTAATAGGCATGGCATTATTGTGTAAACAATCGAACAGTTGTTGGTGCGCTCGCCCCCGTAATGGTATGTTATACTATTTTATACCTTTTATAGCACAGAATTGAACGAATTAATGTTTTCTCTATTTAGTATGAATTTGGTACGACTGATCGTCAAGGCAATCAAATTAACATTCTACCTGGGCAATGCGTTATCAATATTCCGTTGCAATGTATTTACCATGGAATGCTTAACCTTAACATTCCTGCCCTTCCCCTACCTAACCTTATTTCCATTGATCTCTTCTCTGTCCGAAATAGTGTTTTAAATCCCTAAAACTTCATGTACTTAGTTACACAAAACAAAATATAACACATTAATAGTAATAGTAATAATATTTTAACAAATGTATAAGGCCAGATTATAGTTAATATTTGCTCTGCAGAGTTAATGTGTTAGGAATCATGTATTTTATGTATCAATAAAGGATTTACATAATATAATGATTGGGAAAAATGAAAAATGGTATGCTAATAATCTTATGATCGAGAGTTTTTTTTAGACGACTGAGTCGCTGAAATTTTGCCAATTACGATTTTGATCCATTTGGAGTAAAATATTTTCTCACGAAATTGCGAATCTGATTTTCCAATTAATTCATGAAAATTTGTCATGTTTCGTGACTAGAAGCAAAAAAAAGCTCGTTCATTTTCTTGGAAAAGTGAAGAATTCTTCATTCGCACACGATTCCAACTTTTGAATATATCCGTATCTTGTATAAAACAGTGACAAATACGAAATCCACAATTGATTCGTTGAGAGAATTGAATTCCAATCTCGTTCTTCAAATTGAAGAACTTAGAAAGGAGAATGCGAAGTTAAAGCATGGCAAAGAAGAAGCTGAAACCGAGAATGCAAAGTTGAAGCAAGCTTGGAAGAGCATGAAACCCGAATCACAAATCTAGAACGGAGAGATAAAGAAAAAAATACTACTAATGTTTCGCAGTCTCTAGTAAGTTTTCAAGTACCTATTTCTCCTGAAACAAATTCAAATAATACTCCCGAATTGATAGTCCTTTATCAAAAAGAAAGTGATACTCCGGCATCTGATATATCCGATAATGCTTCAAAATTCTAACGTACAACAAGAGCCTTTAACTCAATACTCTGAATCACCTATCCACAAAGAACCTAATTCGCCGAAGGATAAAGTGGTCGATGATTTTCTGGATTCGATACATAAAGAAAAGATAAGTAATGAGATAAGAGCAAGAAATCGAGAAAAAAAGTTATTACGAAATAATAATGAAAATCTGAATATTCCAGAAATGAAGCCTAAATCCAAAGACTTATCTTCGGATAATATTTCACAATCTAATAAAAACAAAGTACAGAAGTTTATGTCAGAAGTTTCTACAAACTCTAGTTCGCAGTTATAATATACTGGTTCTATTAGTAATGGTAGCGATACCTACAGTGAGGTATCAAAAGTCACTGGGCAGTCAATAATTATAAAAAAAAATTGCCAAAATTAAAATGCTAATTGTGGCACAATGAGTGAACGAAATTGCACAAATTTTTTTTTATTAGATTTCCCTAAACTAGGGCTATCATATTATATATTTTGTAATAAAATTGAACATCTGTTCATAGAGAAATTACGCTTCAAATGAAATTGTCAAAAAATAATAATTTTAATCTTTGGATGTTACCTATACCGCATTTGATAGAGATTAAAGATAGATGCCAACTATCTTATATAAACTTGTAGCCCAGAACAAGAGCTACAACTTTAATTATTACCGATTTTCATGGTTACTAATTAAAATTAAAACTTTATTTAAACGTTAATAAAAAAGATCGGAACTATTAAAAATATGAATTGTCATTTTTTAAAAAATAAGAAAATCGGAAAATAAAAGCTGATCGTTATCACACTATAACTTTATATTTTATTAATTAATTATTAAAAATGTCACTAAGTCACCTTAAAGCCAAAAATTAAATGCATTTTTTGTAAAAATTTGAAGCGTATTTCTTTAAAATTGAGTGAGTTAATGACGTTTAACTTTTATGCAATAAATTTTGAATAATCAGAATTTAAACTTCATTATTCACTCAATTTTAAAGAAATAGTCTTCAAATTTTTACAATAGGTGTACCATATTTCTAGCTTTGAGACTACTTAGTAATGTTTTTAATAGCTTATTAGTAAAAAAATAACATTTTTGTAGTTTTTATGTGATAACGATCGATAATTATTTCTAGAATTTTATTTTAAAGAAAAATGATTGACAGTGTGTAAAATTTTTTTTTAAAGAATTTTTGAAAATAATTATTGATAGTTATCATATATGAAAGTTTATTTTTTACTAATTAAATATTACAAATGTAACTAAGTAACCTTAAAATCAAGAATATATTGCATCTAATACAAAATTTTTAAGATTATATCATTTAAAATAAACAAATAATAAATGTCTAAATTCATAATACTTTAAAAATTATAATTTAAAGTTCAAATGCAAAAATTTGTCTAATTTTAATCAAATTTTATAGTAGATGCACTACATTCAAATCTATAAAATTACTTAGTAATATTTTTAACATTTAATTAATTAATTATAAACTTTTATATGTGAAAATTTTTATTTTATTCATGCATAAGTAAACTTTAATTTAAAAAAGTTACAATATAATGTAACAATTATGCAGTCTATCTGTTGTAAAATATTTTATGTAATGTATTATGTAATACAATACATATTGCATAATTTAATAACCAATTTTTAAAAATATATTTTTTAATATTTTAATAAAATTTTAATTTATAATTTTATTTTTAATAAATTTTTATAACTTATATTTTTATATTTCTCTTGAAATAATTTTTATAAAATGACTTCTCAACATAAAGAACTTACTGAATTTTAATGTGATGAAATAATTGATGTTTGGAAATGTGATATTCCTGAAAGAAAAATAAGCAAAGTTTTAACAATACCAAAAGATACTGTTCATAATGTTATTTTTACTTATAAAAATGATGACTTAGAGATGATGCCTTCTCAAAGTGGAAGATCACATGTAATAACTGAAAGAGATAATTATCAATTAACAAGAATTCTTGAAAAAAATCATAGAACAAATATTACAGAACTTTGTGAAAATTTTATTTCTTCTACTTCAACTACTATAAGCACAATTATTCTCAAAAGATATTTTCATAACAATAAAATTTATGAAAGAATTGGTATCAAAAAAACCTTTTATCAATACTGCAAATAGAATGAAAAGTTATATTGAATCAAAAAATAAAGAAAATTGAAAAAATAAGTGAAATAATATTATCTGAAGTGATGAATCTAGATTTGAAGTATTTAAAGGAGATGGAAAAGATATGTTTGAAGAAAATCTAATGAAAAATATGATTCAAAATGTCTGATTCTTATCTTTAAATCAAGACAAAAAAGTATAATGGTTTGGGGCTATTTTATAAAAGATAAACTTGAACTATTAGTTAGATTAAAAGGTAGAATAACTTTACAAATATATATCAATATGTTAGAAGAACATTTGTTATCATTTATCAATAGTTTAGAAAATGGTAATAATTATATTTTCAAGAAGATAATACCCCAATACATACTGCTAGAATAGCTAAAAAATAGAAAGATAACAATAATATTACAAGTCTTCTATGACCTGCACAAAGTTCAGATTTGAATCTTATAGAAAATTTATGGTATAAAAAAGTAAGACAGCACAAACCATTATCAAAAAATAAAGAAGATTTATGGAAAATTTTATAGGAAGAATAGGTGAAAATAGAAAAAAATAGATTTAATAATCTAGTTGATAGCATGCTTTGTCGTATTGCTACTGTTATTGAGAACAAAGGTAATTTTACTAAATATTAATTAAAAAATACAAATTTTCATAATTTAATAGTAAATTATTTAAATTATAAATAAATTATTACAATAAAAATTTTATTTTTGACATAAAAAAAAATTTGAAATAATTTTAGATAATTTATATATAAAAGTTTATAATTAATTAATTAAATGTTAAAAATATTACTAAGTAATTTTATAGATTTAAATGTAGTGCATTTACTATAAAATTTGATTAAAATTAGACAAATTTTTGCATTTGAACTTTAAATTATTATTTTCAAAATGTTATGAATTTAAATATTTATTATTGGGTAAATCTATTTGTCACCAGTAGTGATTATCACCACTGGACAAAATTACATAATTCCCTAATCCTAGTTCTAACCTTAACTTTGTTAATTTTGTCCAATGGTAACTATCACCAGTGGTAACAAGTATATTTTTTTTTATTATTTGTTTATTTTAAATGATATAATCTTAAAAATTTTGTATTAGATGTAATATATTCTTGATTTTAAGGTTACTTAGTTACATTTGTAATATTTAATTAGTAAAAAATAAACTTTCATATATGATAACTATCAATAATTATTTTCAAAAATTCTTTAAAAAAAATTTTATGCACTGTTGATTATTTTTCTTTAAAATAAAATTCTGGAAATAATTATTGATCATTATCATATAAAAATTATAAAAATGTTATTTTTTTACTAATAAGCTATTAAAAATATTACTAAGTAATCTCAAAGCTAGAAATATAGTACACCTATTGTAAAAATTTGAAGACTATTTCTTTAAAATTAAGTGAATAATGTATGTTTAAATTCTAATTATTCAAAATTTATTGTATAAAAGTTAAACATTGATAACTCACTTAATTTTAAAGAAATATGCTTCTAATTTTTACAGAAGATGCATTTAATTTTTGACTTTAAGGTAACTTAGTGACATTTGTAATAATTAATTAGTAAAATATAAAGTTATAGTGTGATAATTATCAGCTATTATTTTTTAATTTTCATATTTTTTTAAAAAATGATAATTCATATTTTTAATAGTTCCGATCTTTTTTATTAATGTTTAAATAAAGTTTTAATTTTAATTAGTAACCACGAAAATTGGTAATAATTAAAGTTATAGCTCTTGTTCTGGTTACAAGTTCATATAAAATAGTTGGTATCTATCTTTAATCTCTATTAAATATAGTATAGATAATATCTAAAGATTAAATTTATTATTTTTTGTCAATTTCATTTGAAGCATAATTTCTTTATGAATAGATGTTTAATTTTATTACAAAATATATTATATGATAATCCTAGTTTAAAGGAATCTAATAAAAAAAAGTTTGTGCAATTTTGTTTACTTATTGTGTCACAATTAGTATTTTAATTTTGACAATTTTTTTTGTAATTTTTGACTATTCAGTGATTTTTGATATCCCACTGTACAAGGTAAACAATAAGCGAAGGTAAGTGGTAATAAGTATTGATAAGTAATATCAAGAAAAGAAAAAAAGGAGTAGAAGGGATGGTGACAAGTAAAAGAAAGATTATATAGATAAAAATTAAAGGTAACAGGATGTGATGAATGAAAAAGCACAACGTTGACAATGAAGAGGACAAAAAAAATAGTAACAATGTTGAAGTTTCATTAATTGTCATATGTCTCGGTGACATCAGTTTTCATTTTTTTTTGATTATACTGAAAGAGTCAAATTATATTATATATATTTTTAAGATAAATTCTTGTATTGGAAAAAAGTTTTTACAATGTACAAATAATTGGTTTTGCTTCACAACTAATATTAACTAGAAATTTGATTTTTTCAAATATTTCTGAAGTAAGATGACAGTTTGATACTATATTTCAATTTTCAAGATTTTTAAGTAATAGATAATTGTATTCTTTTCACATGGAAGTAATATGTATAATACCACCAGTAAAACTGAGATTAACTTTCTATAAGCAGTTCATTTTTACACTTTCACATTCATGAGTATCATCTACATCAGTTTTTTTTTTAGCACAATACTGATACAAATTTTTGTACTCAAATATACAATGTACAATTTTATCATGCTTGTTTTTTTCAAGTTGACATTTTACAATCTCAATTTCAGTTGTGTGTTTTTTGACATGTCTTTTAGCTGAGTTTCAATCTTCAAACTTATTTCTTATTTCAAGACAAAATAACATACAATTTTCACTATCTGAACTTGACAAACTTTTGAATTCTTCTTGCAAATATTCAATATCTATAATCATTTCTTCTAAGGAACTTATAAAAAAAAAAATTGTTATGTACAGTATCATCCATTTATATGTTTTGTAATTCAGTAACTTATTAAAAGTTATGATTAAATAAAAGTTCGTGTTATTGTAATTGTGATTATTTATTAGGAAAAAAACAAATGCATATCTATTGGAAGTTCTCAATTAGATAATTCATAGATATTTTCAAAAAGGTCTGTTAACATAAAAGACAAATTATATAACTGGTGATCTTTAGACAATCCCTTTAACTAATATTATATTTTTGTATAAATTTTATCAATTTGTTTAATTAATATCATATATCAGCTAACAATTTGTACTAAAATATTACAATTTTTATATTGAATATTATAATAAGATATTGATTATTTTTATATATAATGATAAAATAATCAAATGATCAAATTATGATGATTTTATTTTGATATCCCTTAAATAGTTTTGCAAACAAATTTGCTCACAATTTATAAAAATTGAAAATAAGATTATATTGATTATTAATATTAATTATAATTTAAATAAATTATATTATAAAATAAATAAAAATAATTAACTTATGATTTTTTTTTGGTTTTCTTTTTAATTGCCTTTATCAGGAAAATGATAGAGGCAGATTTTTTTGATTTTTTTCTAGATTTTGTCATTTTTTAATTATTTTAAGAGTAATTAATTATTATTTTATCTAATAACTGATTTACCATTTAAATACCTCTTCAAATTGATGAGACTTGGATTGCATAGATCATTTTTTTGTAAATCTAAGATCAATTTTTATTTGGTTTTCAACATTTTATTATGTAAAGTTAGTTACACGCATTACTGTCTGAAATTGTATTTTAATTATTAGATAACTTTTTTTGCATAACTATGCAGACATGTCTAGCTCAACAATCTTACCAGCTGTAGATAACACAGGTCCTTCAAGCATTCATGAATTAATAATATACAGTAAATTGTGTCACGTTGATCATAAAGATCAGCAGTCAATTAGGGAAAAATTCTGTTCCATCTTTTTAAATTATTATTATAATGGAAGAACAATTGAATTCTGTAGGTAAAAAATAATAATAAAGATTCTTGATATTTAACCTATTCAATATTTCTTAACATTTTGGAACTTTTATTTATAGCTTTTGGATTTTTTAAATGACAATAATCCGCAAGTATGTACAAGGCATTACAAAAAAATTTTCTTATTATAATAATAATAATATAATAATAATAATAATAATAATATATTATTATAGGTTCGTCAATTAGCACTTGTTCATTTATTAGGATATACCACAAAAACATCACAATTCCAGCATATTTTCAAACAAAATGATTTTAAACCTATTGAGGAATTGAAAAATATTTGTACAAGTTGTAAAGGAAATCCGGTAGAGATTTCATATTTATTTTTTTCCTCATTTACATTTTACATTTTTATATATATATATTTTTTTGAAATATTAAAATCTATATATAATTATATATATTTTTAGCTAATTGCACATGATTCATTTAAAGCTTTGGTGAATTTAACCAGTGATGAAGAAATTTGTAAAAAATTAAATGATGATAATTTTTTACAATTTATGATAAAAATGATTCTGGTGTGTAGTTAATTGTTAGTAATGATAATAAATAATAATAATAATAATTGAATCAATTGAAATGATAATAATTGAATTGATTGAAATATAGGATCGAGATTCCATTCTAGCAGATATGATTTGTATGCTTTTATCAAATATCACAAGAAATGAAAGAATTTCTGCCAAAATCTTATTATTAGATTTATTAGATCAACAACAATTGGAACAATCAAATAATGAGAAGAAGAAGAAACCAATAGATCAATTAGTTGATGTATTTGTTAATGGTGTAAATAGATCATATAATAAAGAAGCTGAATTTCATTTCTTGGCTAATGTATTTGCAAATATTACTATGGTTTGTTTATTTTTATTATTATTATTATTATTATAATTATTATTATTCTCTTCTATTATTATTCTTTTTCTTCTATTCTTCTATTCTTTATTGATTATTTTATTGATTAGAATATTTTTTAGTTGCCTCAGGGTCGAGAATATTTTATGATCGATTCTCTTTATGAGAATGAAAATATTACACCATTATCAAAAGTGATCATATTTACGGAACATCCAAATATTATTCGAAGAGGTGGAATTGATTCTTGTATTAAGTATGTATTATTTATATTAAAATGTACATCAGGAATATTAATATCTAATATTAATATTTTATTTAATAGAAATTGTTGTTTTTCAACAAATCATCATTTCGAATTATTATCAGAATCCAAGATAAATTTACTTCCTTACATTCTTTTACCTCTTTGTGGTCCAGAAGAATTTGATTTAGATGTGAGTATTTAAAAACAATATATATCCTTTTTTTTTCTAAAATATTATCTGACATATTTTATCTGAAATGCATAATACATAGGATATGGAAGGAATGCCTGATGAAATTCAACTTTTACCATCTGACAAGGTAATCTCCTTTTTTTTTTTTATAACAATTGTTTTAAAATTAAATAAATAATTAAAATTATAATTAAAATTAAATAATTAATAAAATTTATAGAAACGTGAGTCAGATGTGCAATTAAGGAAGATATTGTTAGAATCTCTTGTATTATTAACCAGTACAAGAAAAGGAAGAGAAATACTTCGGAAAAAGAACGTGTATCCTGTTATACGTCAAATGCATTTAGTGGAAAAAGATGATACAATATTGATGGATACAATTGATCAATTAGTTAATATGTTAATGAGAGATGAAAGAAATGATCAAGGAAATGATAAAGAAGAAAATGATGATAATGATATTGTTGAAATCAGTAGTTCAAATAATTCAGATGTAAATTCTAGCAATATTAATAATAATGGTAATAATGTAATAAATGATAATAAAGGATAATGATGAACACACTTGACATTTCTAAAATATACATAGATTAAAGTTTTATTCCCTTACACAATTAATTCACAATTCACACAATTCATATGACTGTACATGAATATAATTATATTGTATTTGTAATATAGTTGATAACAAACTTGAAGGATTTGCAAATAGTAGTATGTAAAAAATCATAAATAAAAACCAACAAAAAAAATTTACAACAATTGAAATAAAATAAAAATGCAGTTTTTATCTACTTAATCCAATCTATATTTACTCATACATATTATACATTGATACATTCTCATAGTATAAATAGATATATACGTGGCAGTAAAATGGAAAATATTTAAAAGAAACCACCTTGTCTATTATTATAATTCCTCCCAGCAACACGTGCACTAGATATTTGTGGTAATGGTGGTGGAGGTGATTGTCTACCATGATAATTTCCGTCAAGATAATGAGATGGACCAGGACTTACACTTCTAGCTCTATTATTATTAATATTTGCACCTCTTAAATTCTGATGAGATTTTGAATGCATAATTCTTCCATTACTATTATTATTGTTACTATTATTATTATTCTTATCATTGAAAGGGATATTCTTTGACATTGGTGATCTCCCTCTTCGATGGGAATCATAAATATTATTATTATAATTATTATTATTATTATTGTTGTTGTTGTTGTTGTTGTTGTTAATGTTGTTAATGTTATTGTTAATATTATTGTTATTATAATTATTGTTATTAAAATTAACGTTGTCAATATAATTGTTATTATAAAGACTTTTAGTACCATCACCACCTCTATTATTATTATTGTTATTGTGATTTCCCGCAATTTTCATTTCTCTTCCTCCTTTTATTTCCTTAGAAGATTGTGGGAAATTAGTTGATATAGGTGATGATGATAATTCATTAATAATTCTAAATTGACCATTTCTATTACTATTACTATTATCATCTAATAAGCGTGTTGTTCCATCATAAAATTCACTTGATTTTGATCTAGTCGGTGTTAGTGTTAAGTTTTTACTATTATGACTTTTACTATAAGAATTACCATTGTTTTTATATGTATTTGTCGTATATTTTGACGATTTTGAATCATATAGCCAATTAGGGAGATCACCTGATTTTTCCATATAATATTCTCTCAAAATACGTGAAATATGAGATTCTCCTTGCCAATCTTCTTTTTCTGATTCTATAAGAAAAAAAAAAATAAATAATATATGTGATTAATTTATGATTTCGAGTAATAATAATAGTAATAATAATAATAATAATAATAATAATAATAATTTTATTATTATTCAACTTTTGAAATCTTTATTTTTTTTCATTCATACCATTCTCTGAATCACCTAAATCATCTTCAGCTGTATATATGGCAGCTGCACTTAATAATTTATCCCATAACTTTGCACCCTGACTTGATGGTTGCGTTGATGGTGTTGATCCTGTAAAAAATAAATGAATAGATAATGATTAATATTAAATAAGATAAATTTTCAAGATATTCAAGATGATATTCAAGATGATATTCAAGATGATATTCAAGATGATATTCAAAAGATATTCAGAGATATTCATGATGATATTCACGAGATATAGAGATGTAGATATGTACCTTCGGCAGTTACGTCCTTCCAATTACGTACAGATCGAAGTTTACCCCATAATCCTTCATCACTCGCATTTGCCTCCCCATTATTATTATTATTGTTATTATCTTTTTGTGAAGATTTAAGTAGTGCTGCTGCTGCTTTAAATTTATTAGGAACGGAAGGTACTGGAGGAGGTGGTGGTGGTATTGATTCTGCTGCTGAAACTCCACATTTATGTCGAGCTGGATAAAGACCAACATCTGAATTACAATCCTTACAAAGGATTGCGATTCTTGATATTCTATAATCTATAGACCCAGCTACCATTATAATTATTATTTCTTTTCTATTTCTATTTTGAATATTATTATTTATATATATATATATATATATTTTTTGTGTTTAGATTATTTATATTTCTATTTTGTATTATTTCTATTTTATATATATATATATATTTGATACATATATATTTATGAAAATATTTCTGGAAATTTATCTGAAAATGTTCCTGAAATGTTTCTGAAAATATTAGCGAATAAGAAAAAGAAAGAAAGTGAATAATTTTTTTTTTTTTTTTAAAAAAAAAAAAAAAAAAAAAAAAAGGTCGAGAATAATAATAATAATAATGTTCCAAGTAAAAAAAAATAATTTGTGTATTAACGAATACATTATCAAATATATTAAATATACTAAAAAAGTATTAAAAGTGTATCACAACTTTATGTTTCGTCTCCTCGATGTAATGAAAATTTTATACCATTTCAAGTAAATTCCAAGTTATTACCTGTAATTTAGTAATTTTGTGATCTACTTGTACTCCATTCTTACTCAAATAGATATAGAATATTTCCGAATATTTAATATTCACTTATTTAGGAAAAACCTTATTTTATAAAAATGTTGTATTAATGAAAAAACTTTAAATGTAAATAGATCCTAATTATCTTAATTAGTGCATAATATTTGACATTTTTGTTGGTTTTTAAGGAACGATACAACAAAGAAAGTTGAATTGGAGGAACAATTTCAACAAATAAAATTAATCTAAATCTAACACTTATATTATTTATTATCTTTTATTATCTTTCTGCATTATCAATTATTATCAATTCAATTAGTTTCAGCTTAATTAGCTTAATTTATCTTTTTTTTTTTTTTTTTTTAAAAAAAAAAAAAAAAAAAAAAGAATCTATTCTATTTGTTTCAAAATTTGCTTTTTTGAATGATAAAAGCTATTTTTAATAACTTTAATTGGTAATAATTAAATAATTAAATAGTATTTTCAGTTTTTTTTCTTTTCTTTTTGAAATGGTAATAATAATAATAATAATAATTATATTTACATATTCTAAATAATTTGAATTTGTCTTATTTTAGTTATTTATATAATAATTTAAACCTTTTAATTACATTGTCTTTTTGAATCAAAAATAAAAAAAAATTTACATTATAAATCTTTTTTAGTTAATCTACATTGACGATAATTTAATAAAATAATTGTTTCATCATTTATATGTATTAACAAATTTCTTATTATTTATATTATTTTATATTATTTATGTTATTTATATTATTTATGTTATTTATATTATTTATATTATATTAACATTTAATAATTACAAAAAAAAATTGCTATAACATTATTTTTTTTTTTTTTAAAAAAAAAAAAAAAACTATAAACAATATATAATTCTATCTATTACTTATTTTATTTTTTAATACTTGGTCCGTATCCTACTACGTCGTGAATCTCCTTCGTCATAATCTTCTTCATCTTCTTCATCAACATATATTGGTTTTGACTTTCTTTTTCGATTATTTTCATCCTTCCAAATAAGTTTTTGCCTTTCATTATATTCCAATAATTCTTGTCTCTTGATTCTTTCTTGTTCTGCGGCTTTTTCCGATTCTTCTTTCTTTTTTTGTTCCTCATATTCCTTTTGAATCCTTAATTCCCTTTCATGTTCTTCTCTCACCTTCCTTTCTTCTTCTATTCTTCTTTGCCTTGCTTCTTCGGCCTGCATCGCTTCATTATATTTTGATTCTAATGATATAATTATTGATTGTCCAAAATTAATACGATTCTTTAAAACTTCAATATCAAATTGTCCACTTATTGAAACATCATTAAGTATATAATTAAATGTGGAATTGGCCATTTTGGCATTCTCAAGTGCTTTAATTAATTCTTCAACTGATCGATTAGGTCCTGGTTCACTAATCATTTGTGCCATTCCTTGTTGAAGTAATGCTATATTATGAAGTATAAATTTACTAGTAGGATTAAGTTTAAAGGCTTTTTGTGTCCATTCTAATGCTTCTTCCATCATTTTCATATCTTTATTGGATTTGGCTAAAAGATAATTTGAACGTCCAAGCCATTCTAATACTTGTACATCTTTATTTTGACTTTTTTTTGATACACTTTCATATGCTAAAATTGCAGCTGGATAATCATTAAGATGACTACAAACGTGTGCATAATTTATCGTAATTTCCGGTAAAGGATTTCTTTCTCTTAATTTTAAAAAAAATTCTTTTGCTTCTTGTAATCTCCAAGTTTCCGCTAATGCTACAGTAATTCCATTTGCTGCCCATAAATTTCTAGGATTAAGTTTTAAAGCTTTTTGAAAATAATCAACTGCTTTCTTATAATTCGCCTCTCTTTGTTCTTTCATATTTTCTTGCTTTATTGATCGTGCCTTGGTTAAAAATAAACTACCTAATGCTGTCAAAGTAACAACATCATTTTTATCATAATCATTAAGTATAGCCTCTAAATATTTTCGAGATGTACGAGTTTCTCCATGTCGAAGAATATTTAGAGCTCGTCTTTTACGAAATTCTAAATCTTTATTATCTAATTCAAGTAAATCATTATAAATTTCATTTGCTTTTTCATAATTTCCATGATATTCTTCAATAGAAGAAAGTCGTAAATGAGCTAGTGAATAACTCGGATGATCTGAAATTATTTGATTATATAACTCTATCGCATCCACATATTTATGTGAAGCTTCGAGAGCACGTGCTAAATTATACTTTAAAGTAACTTCGACTTCTCGATCAGGAAATGATAGAGAATTACAAGCTTCAAGCGCACTTCTAAAGCATTTCTCTGATTCTTCATATTCAACAAGTTTAAAATGCAAAGTTCCCATCTTATTAGAAAGTTCGTATGGAATAGGTTCCTTTGTATCTATATATATTTTCTGCGCCAATTTTAATGATTGCAAAGCTTTATAAACGTTTCTACCCTCGGTGGCTAATGCTTTCACTACAAAAATATCGGGATTATCATACGTCTTCTCTGATATGGCCTTTGTTATTCTATCAAATTCTTCGAAAATTCTCTCCTTCTTTGTTTTATCTGTCTCATCAAGTGCGGCATGCGCGTGTAATATCGCAATAATAGTTACAACATCCAAATTGGAATGTTGATTACGTAAATTTTCAAATATTGCTTTCGCCTCCTCATAATAACCATGTCTAATCAACATTTGTCCATATCCATATTTGGCCATTTGGTGTTGATTATTATTAAGAATGGCATGAGAATAATAATAATGGGCTTTATCATATTCTTCCATTATATGATATGCCCTCGCTTGTTGATATTGCGCTTCGGCTAAAACTGGTTTTGAAATTGTGTATTGTTCAGCTCGTTTAGTGGCATTTAATAACTTTTCAAAATCTCTTTGAAAGTAATACCCATGAGCTAGTAAAATAAGTGCACTAGGGTGACTAGGGTTAATTTCAAGTGCTCTATTAGCACGACGCATGGCTGCAGCATAATTAGTTAATCGTTCTTCTTCACCTATTAGTTGCCATTGCTTAGAAATATCCAATTCCATGGTAGAAACAAGAATGTTTGCTGAAACATTATTTGGATTTAATTCAAGTGCTCTATCAAAAGCCATAAGAGCTTGATCAAAATTATCTAATTTATTATAACAAAGGCCTATACCAATACGAGGATCAGGTTCTGTTAGGGTAGGATCAGCTTGCAATATTTGTTGATATATTGAAAGTGCGGTTTTATAATCCTTTCGATGATAATAAACACGTGCCTGTCCGAATAATGCCGGAATGTTGTTCGATGCAAGGTTAGTGGCATTGGTGAACGCTGTTAAAGCCATATTTGGATCGTTCCTCATGAGATGAAGGTAACCTTTTCCAACCCAAGATATTGCGTCGTGTGAACTAATTTGTGAAGCTATATTGAAATGTCTTGTAGCTTCGTTTAATAATTCGTTCTTTTCTTGTTCACTCGGTATACGATTTCCTTGAGGATATTTTGCCATTCTTAAATTTAGGCAAGCTATTAAATTATTTATTTTCATAATATCTTCGTTGGTTCCCTTTGCTTCTTTTAGACCTCGTTCCAGAACTTTTATTGCCGCTAAGGGCATTCCTCTGTTCTTATTATAATGAAGCGCAACGGGAATATAATACATCATGATTACATTTTCTTCTTTTAATTCGTCACAAATTTGATCGGGATTTTCTGGCAGAGATTCATAAGATATTCGCATATCTTTATCAGATTTTGGGCAAGGGATATTAAGAGGATTTGTTAGTAGGCTCAACATTTTTTTTTTTTTGTTTTACGTTGTTTTTAATAAAGCTGTAAAATCTCAAAAGTTGAAAGTAAAATATGAATACATGTGATTTAAGGTAATTAATTACATAATTGTGTGACAGATAACGATAAGTATAATAAGTGTTACTTTAACGCGTCTCTTCCTATTTACCATGTTTTCAAATACAAAAAAACGCTGTACCGAATGGTAATTTCTATATTTTATCCTATATTATAAATCAGCTAAAATCGGATTGCTATTTGCGTCGCTTATTCTTTTTTTGTTTGACCTGTGATATAAAGGACCTGTAGGGTAGGTTTGATATGTATATTTTTATGTTGTTATTACTGTGATTTTGTGAATATTTTTCTAATACATCTTTATCATTTTTATCATATCTGCTACCACTTCTATTAATGTTCGAGGAGAGTTATCCACATCTAACGATATCCCATACATTAAGTATTTTGAACTTTGCTCATATGAAATTGGTCTCTCCAGCACTACGTCTTTTTATAATTAATAATTATAAGTTCGCTAGAAAGGATAGAACACACCAAGTATTTTTTATGACACTAGAAAGTATTAATAAGAATTTATCTATATCTCAAGACATTCGGGATATTGCACAAAATCTCATAAAAAACAAAAAAGGTAAGATCATTTTTGGAATAATTAGATTTGATGGGGCTTTATAGCCAGGTGCTTGTACCTATTGGATGCGCTCTAGTAGGAACCCATGCAAGTACTGAAATGGATGCGTTTGTTGGGTGCGTTCTGGCAAACATCATGGAATTTATTGATAGAAATTTTAGTAAAGATATGTTGATTCTGAAGGAGGATTCAACTATCTTTCCATTAAGTGGGCATTCACCAGAAAAGAAGAAGAGATACTTTCATGTCCTCCAGTAGATAAAATCGAATATCACCATGTCCAGAAAAGATATAAAAGACATTAGAATGTCAAGATAGTATTTATTGCAGAAATCCGATTTCAAAAAACGAAAATTTCTCACCAGTTCTTACATGAATGTCCACTTAATAAAAATTTATCTATTTATATATTTCTGCACCCGCCATTTAATTTTATTTTTGTATAATTTGTTTACTGGGAAATATTTCTCATCTGGTTTTGTTTTTTATAGGTTAATGTTGAAAAAGTAAATAGCTTGTGGAAAAAAACTAACAAGAAAAGATAGTCATCACTACTACCATCAGTAGCACCATTATTATCACCACATCTTTTTCTATTTATCTTATTTTTTATAGTTGCAGGATATAAAAGGACTTGTAAGGTAAGTTTGATATGTATATTTTTATGCTGTTATTATTATAATTTTGTATATATTTTTCTAATACATTTTTATTATTTTTATCATATCTATTACCACTTCTATTATTAATGTTTGAAGAGAACTATTCACACCATATAATAAATATTTTGAGCTTTGTTTATATGAAGATTGATCTTTTCACCATCATATTTTTCTTATAATTTATAATTATTACTTTTTTGATACTTTGTACTATATTAGTAATAATTTGTGTATATTGCAAGAAATTTGGAATATCACTTAAAAACTTATAAAAAATAGAAGGTAAATATAATAAATATAATTAATAAGATTTGATGGAGCTTATTGCCAGGTGCTTGTATCTATTGGATATGTCTAGTACAAATTATGCAAGTACTGAAATGGATGCATTTGTTGGATACATTTAGTAAACATCATGGAATTTATTGATATAAATTTTAGTAAAGATCTGTTAATTCTGAAGGAGGATTCAATTATCTTTACATTAAGTGGACATTTATCAATAAAGCAAAATATTTTTCAGCATTTCCAGAAAAGAAGAAGAGATACTTTCATGTTCAAGATCAAATATCACCTTGTCCAAAAAGATATAAAAGATATTAGAATGTTAAAATAGTATTTATTGCAGAAATCCAATTTCAAAAAACAAAAATTTCTCACCAGTTCTTATATAAATATCTATTTAATAAAAATTTATCTATTTATATATTCTTGCACTTGTCATTTAATTTTATTTTTGTATAATTTGTTTACTGGAAAATATTTCTCATCTGGTTTTTCTTTTTATAGGTTAATGTTAAAAAAGTAAATAGCTTGTAGAAAAAAACAAACAAAAAAAAATTATCACTACTATCATCAGTAGCACCATTATTATTACTACATCTTTTTCTATTTGTCTTGTTTTTATAGTTGCAGAATATAAAAAAATTTGTAAGGTAAATTTTATATATATATTTTTATACTGTTATTATCATAATTTTGTATATATTTTTTTAATACATTTTTATTATTTTTATCATATTTATTATTACTTCTATTATTAATATTTGAAAAGAGTTATTTACACTATATAATAAATATTTTGAGCTTTGTTTATATGAAAATTGATCTTTTTACCATCACATTTTCCTTATAATAATTTATAATTATAAATACATTATTACTTTTTTAATACTCTGTACCATATTAGTAATAATTTGTATAGGTGTTGTCTAAATTCAAAATACTAAATCCCAAATTCCAATTTTCAAATTCCAAATTACTAATTGCCAAAATCCCAAATCTCAAATTATGCCAAATTCCAAATACTATGAAAACTAAATTTTGACAACCGAAATGTCAAAATAATTTGGAATTTGGATGGCATGTATAATATTTGTATATATTGCAAAAAATTTGAAATATCATTTAAAAACTTATAAAAAATAGAAGGTAAATATAATAAATATAATTAATAAGATTTGATGAGATTTATTGTCAGGTGTTGAATAAAGCTCCTCATAGGCCTTAAGGCTCGCGAGCCTAGCAAGCCGAGCTGATCCAAGCCAAGCCGAGCCTGATATTATAGGCTCATAGGCTCACGAGCCAAGCCTAACTAAGGCCTGGCTCGAGCCTTAAAAATTTTGGAGCCTTAAATAAAAGCCCACATAATTTTTTTTATTTTAAAATTCGTGGCTTTATTTAAAAGCCACGAATTTTTTTTTTAAAAAAAAATTATC